CTGGAGAGATGGTTTAGCAGTTAAGAGGGTTTGCTGTTCTTACACTGCAAGAATTCAGTGGCACTCAAGAATTGCAGTGGCACTCATCTTTAATCCCAGCACTCAGGAAACAGAAGCAGGCAGACCTCTGTTGCATTCTATAAAGTGAGTTCCAGGACAGTCAAAGCTGCTACACAGAGAAACTCCCATCTTAAAGGGGGGGGGGGGGAATCAGTTCCCATCACCTATCTACTCAGGGCAACTCACAACCACGTGTCACTACAGCTCCAGGGATCCAGTGCTCTCTTCTGGCTTCTGCAGGCATCCATGTACCCACACATCCATGTACCCACACAACATACAGATTTTAAAATAAAAAATCTTTTAAAAAAACACACACACAAACAAAAAAAATACAAGTAACAAAAAATAAATAAGCAGAGTGCACCCTGCTATGGTAGCACTTGGTATGTATGGCACATCTGTAATACTGGCACCCAGAAAGCTGCAGCAAGACCATCTCTTGAATCCAGGAACAAAATACAGAAATTTCATCTCAAAACAAAACATGACAAAATGAAATGAATTAAAAAGCATGAAAGGAGAAAAAAAGATAATAAATATATGATTATTATTTCATAAATAGGATGATAGTTCAAAGCACAGTGGCATAAGCCTATAGAGTTCCATGATGGCCTCAGCTGCACAATGAGACTCCTGTCTCAAAAGACCTGTGTGTGTATGTGTGAGTATACTTTTTTAAAAGGCTGGGGAATAGATCAGGAACTGAATACTTGCCTAGCATATATGCCAGGCCCAGACTGAAGGGAATTCTAAGTTTAAGGGAAACCAGAGCTATATAGAACAAGACCCTGTTTGTTCTGTTTTGTTTTCTGAAAAGGGTTTTACTATATTATTCTGGATGTCTTGAAACTCACTATGCAGATCAGACTGACCTCAAACACACAGAAATCAACCTGACTTTGTCTCTTGAGTGTTTGGATCAAAGGTGTACACCACTACACCTCACTCCCCAAAGCAAATGTTTTAAATGACCATTTGGTAACAATTAGCCAAGTACTGTAACTTGGAAAACACTATTAACACCATCCCAAAGACTTTAATTCTGCAAATGGACTTACACCAAGAAATAAGAAAATTCTATGACTAACCTCTGAGGATATGTAATGCTTATAAGTCAAAAACCATAAAACGTCAGCTATAAGTTAATTATAAAAATTAATATGTAGGGCTGGAGAGATGGCTCAGAGGTTAAGACCTCTGTTCTTCTAGAGGCCCTGAGTTCAATTCCCAGCAACAACATGGTGGCACAAGATCATTTATGAGATCAGGCACCCTCTTCTGGCATGCAGGCATACATGGAAGGAACGTTATATACATAATAAAAAAAAATCTTTAAAAAAATTAATGTGTAATCACTAAATTCTTGAAAAATTGTTACTTATTACAAAAAGTTCTTTAGACTCTGGCTTTGAAACCTCTTTTTTCTCCCCACTGAAAACAGAACACACAAAATATTTTATATACACATACACACACACACATATACACACACGCGCGCACATAACTATACATACACACACATATACATACACAGATATATAGTTATGCAGTATCCAGAAAAGTAGCTACAGTTCATATTTGGTTTCTCTCTTTGGTGGCTTATTTTGTTTTTAAGTTTCTCTTTACTCAAGAGGTTTTTCTTATGATGTGCACACATCAGTCCTACAGTTATTTGAGTTTAACTCTAAATAACCTAAAACATAATTAAGCCTAGTTTGTTATTTGTTTGTTTTTTCGAGGGAGGGTTTCTCTGTAGTTTTTGTTTTTTTGTTTTGTTTTGTTTTGTTTGTTTGTTTTGGAGCCTGTCCTGGAACTAGCTCTTGTAGACCAGGCTGGCCTTGAACTCACAAAGATCCACCTGCCTCAGCTTCCTGAGTGCTGGGATTAAAGGCAGGTGCCACTCAGCCCTTAGCATAGTTTAGATGTACTTTTAAGCATAATTATTCAAGGAAAGATGGTCCGGGATATATCCTAACCTTTGCTTTGACTGGTAGATCTAATTATAACTTTTTATGAACTTTATTTAAGAACATCCTAGCTTACAAAAGCTGGAATAAAGAAGCAAGGAAATATGGAAAAAGATCCCCCCCAAAAGTAAGAGTCCCTTCCTTTTTGTAGGCCCTGGTAGTTCAGTAGCATTTATTCTCTTATCTAAACTAAGAGTGATGTCATACATTTCAACTATATTTCTGTTCCAAAAATGACATGTTTCTGACCTAGGTAACTTAAGACAAATCTAAGAACTGACAAAATTGTATGAGATTTAACTATAGTAAGATACATATTTATAAGTCAAAAGTTATTTCTGATAAACACCCTTGAGTTATTTCAAATATTATTATAATACCAGTTACCTAGGTTGTAAATTTGAAAAAATCAGATTTTTATATAATTACATGTAAATAAAAAGAATTCAAGATTTTAACCACAAATTCCTTATTAAAACAATTTTTCTGTTTCTTAAAAAGAAAAAAAAATAAATCTCAATTGTCTAAGAATTAAATTACCAGTGAAACTTATCTGACTTGTATAATCCTGCCCTTTAGCCAGGCGGTGGTGGCCCACACCTTGAATCCCAGCACTCAGGAAGCAGAGGCAGGCAGATCTAGGCCAGTCTGGTCTACAAGAGCTAGTTCCAAGACAGGCTCCAAAGCTACAGAGAAACCTTGTCTCAAAAAGCCAAAAAAAAAAAAGGTAATTAAAAAGCTTATTAAAAAAAATCCTTCCATTTATTCCCAAGATTACATTATCTATATTGAAATGTGATACTACCTCTAATAACAGCACTAGATGAGATTTTTCCATTATTAAAAACACATTCTTTAATGTCTACATGGTTTAATCTGCAAAACTGTGCCTACTGGACGAGACCATAAACATACTAATAATGGAAAGTCAGCAAGTAACAGTGACACTGAAAAATCTGCCTGTACTCAAGTTTTAAGAAAAAAGTAATGTGCTTTAAAATGAGAGTAATTTTTTACTATGTAATTTCCTCCCATGTAACTTCTGTTTTCTAAAAGTTTAACTAAATCAAGATTTCATTTCATTCTTTTATTTTTGCAAAACTAAGGCCTGAATGTAAAGCCTCGAATACGCTAGTCCTGTGCTGTACCTGGGCTGTATCCTCGGTTCTCCTCTTTTTTTTTATTTTGAGACAAAGTCTCACCAAGCTGCACAGGACAGCCTGCAGATCAAGCAGGACCTAAACTTGCCATCCACCTGCCTCAACCCTCCGATCCCAAGTAGCTGGAATTTCAGACTTTTACACAAGGTCGGCATCCTTTTCGTTTTTCAGCCATGCCCCATTCGTGACATTTTCCCCAAGCAAATCGAGAATTATTTACTAAAGCTCAAAAATACAAAACATGAAGTATAATGTTATGTGAGATGTAGTTACTGGCTAAAAGAAAGCCTAACTTTCTATGCACGAAATAGAAATCTCGAAAAGAGTTCAGAAGCCGAAAGCTTTTCTAATTCACAAAAGAGTTTTGTCCAACTAGACAACAGAGTTTTATTGTTGCTGAAGCTGCAAGGGTGGATAGGCAATCTGCAATAACTATTCCACCAGCTTCCATCACGTAGCAGTTAGGTCCCAAACAGAAAAGACCAAAGAAAAAAAAAGAAGAAGAAGAAAGAGAAAAGAAAGAAAGAAAGAAAGAAAGAAAGAAAGAGAGAGAGAGAGAGAGAGAGAAAGAGAGGAAGGAAGGAAGGAAGAAGGAAAGAGTAGGCACAACCCTCACCATCAGAAAATAAAGCCTATCATCACCTCTTCCGAGAAATAGTTCCCTTCCCCCACCACTAAGTAGCCACTTAAGACTGCCAAGGAGATCCATTTCTTTATTAGCCGGTGCCCACTTGGGGCAATCGTACACCAAAGCTGCTCTGAAGGGCCTGCCCTAATCCCGTGTGAAACTGCTCGAAAGATTCAAGGGCTAGGATAAACCTGGTGAAAAGGGCCGGATTCTTTCTGACACCTCTTCCACACTCACTCCCTCACCCCCTCCTCCAGCCCGCCCCAGTGGCCTCCTCCGGCACGAGGAAGGACACCCGGGCCATGGTCCTGCAGGAACTGCCGGCCAGAGCCGCTCAGGCAGCCCCAGGCCTCCGCCATGCCAGGACTCCGGGAAGCACCGCCCAAACGCACCTCCCAACCGGCCGGCAGAGCGGACAGGCCCGGGACGGGCCAGGCCCAGGCCTGCCCCTCGGGTGCCGCGCGGGCCTCCGGGGTCCAATCCTCCTGCCGGCCCCGGGGCCAGCCG